GAGGAAATATTAAATGTCTCAGTTTGTTTTTGAGATGTTTTTGGGAATTATGAATTATTTGCTTTTCATTCTAAGAGTTTTTCTAAATTTAAAGCCATCAGGACACATTCAAAAACACGAGGGCTGAACACCAAAGACCGAAAACGCACTTCAGAACTTTTCTGTTCAGTCTTTATTCGACCAAGATACTCAGACTTAAGATGTAGGCACAGGTTAGTGTCATGCCCAGAGTTCTGGACTCACATACAGGGTAAGAGTGAATAAAGAAAGCTGTTCAACATCGTACACTTACATGTGAAAGCTCAGGAAACTGTAGACACAGAGTAGATAAATGTCAGCGTCACCTTGGGCCCAACCAGGGCAGTAACGCTCAGGTGCAGGCCTGAGTAACTGCTCTCAGATCATTTCAAATGATCAGCAGGACCAGCTCAGTAAGACAGTTGTGTGTGATGCTGCAAACGTTGGCACTGATGTGATACCAGGTAAATACACGGCCAATTATAAGCATCGATGCCAATACTGATACTTTAACCCACAAATGTAGCTTCTGTGGGGAAGAACACTGTGTCATGAGATCAGTCATTAATTTGCATACTTTCAGCTTTTATTTTGAAACTGTTTTTTGTAGACCTGAGTGTAAATGTCCCTGTCTCTCGTCGGGTCAGCTTCTGTTGATTAGATTTAAATAAAACAAACGTGACAACCAACATGAAAAAGATATTTTTATAGTGACTGCGTGGCGTACATTTTTTATTTCCAAAGAAATGACTGACTTAACACAGTTCAGTGAGCTGCATGCTGGACTTGGAAACAAAGTATTGATCGTAGCACACTAGTACAGATCCAGCATCAGTGCTCATACTGATAGCTGGATTTAGTTGATTAGATGATCACAGGTCAGTAAGTACGATGGCAACAGACCAGCAACACTCACAGGAGCAAGAATCAGATAAAGTGTGAAGCATTGCAACGTTTTACTATTAAACACAGTTAAACAGGAACCATTCAGCTATGTAAAGAATTTACAATACAAAGGTTAATTATGTTTGATACCAAAACACATTATTTAGTGTAATCTTATTTACGGCCTTTTAATGTGAAGCTGGTCAAAGTGGCCTCTTTATTAATCACATTGTAGCAAAAGTTATTAAGTCATTAGATTAGTGACAATCATGTAACATACGTGATGTGAAATCCAGCGTCTGTAGGGACGGCAGCAACAGAGGACAAAGTTCAGGGGTTAGCCTTCATTTACACCCACAGCTCAGAGAGGCGGGGCTTATAAACTGAAGTGATAACAAACATACACAAATAAAAAAAACTTGAAAATGATAAATATTATAACTGATGTTTACAGTTATACAGTTATAAACATCACAGACGTATCTGTGGATGAGTTTGTGATGGAAACATTTCAGGATTTTACTGGGATGTTACTGATTTGCAGGAAATTGTGTCCGTCTGACTGAATCGCACATGTGACATGTACTGCATGTCGGTGAGGGTGGAGTAGATGTGGTCCTGGTCTGTGGGGGCTGGAGTCATGGTCTCATAGGTGGAGTCACATGTGGATCCTGGAGCTCCGCTCTTCTGCTGGGCTGCAGGTAACTGAAAATATTTAACACATCCAGTTACAGCACATGTATGTATGCAGCTGGTGTTTGCTGCCCTCTAGTGGCACTAATCTGTCATGCAAGGTTAAACACTGACAGAAACACTGATGGAGTTACCTCCACCTGTCTTCCATCTGATTTCCTGTTTTTCCTGTTCTCCATCCATCTGTAGAGGAGCAGCAGGAAGCCAGTCGACAGCACGACGATCACAACCACACACACAACCAGAGACACAAAGTAATCTGGACACAGAAGAAGACGATGCTGAGTGGGACGTGTGTGTTTCAGGGTCATAAACAGAACGTTTTATTGCACTGACAGGATATTAATAAAGCTGCCAGACAGGTGAGTACCTGTGATCTGCTCAGGGAGAGCTGGCGTGGGGGTGGTGCCGGTGGGTGGAGCTGTGAACAGAGAAATGCCGTTAGAGACGTGAGACAGAAAACTAGTCCTGTTCCAGCTATGAACAGCAGGGGGCGACAGACGTCTCAGTGACTCACAGGAGTCTCTGAGTGCATCACTTCCCTTTTTCTAAGGAAGTCAGCTCTCAATAAAAGAGGAAATCTGTGTGTCAGTGAAGCTGAAAGTTCCTGAAAAAGCCGTCGTGTTGATGCTGAGAAAACACAAACACTCCTAAAATAACACAAAGACTATTTCAGAGCATCCATATGATGGTGTCACTTCCCCTTTCAGCAGAAAGAAGAGTGGCGCCTGTCCAGTATTCAGGCCTGTTTATACCAATCATTACATGTCATTGTTGCAGCTGGGACCGCCACACCTGGCCCTGACACGGTTTGGCCGTACGTGCTGAGAACTGAGCCTCCACATGTGACGAGTGAAGAGCGAGCGCGTGGATTTCCCCCGTGCCGGCTCCCTGTTAAACCCAAAATCAAACTAAATGAACAACATAAAGAAGCAGAGCTGTGATGATGACTGCATGACGTTTTCAGGCTGATGCATGAAGTTTGGTTTGAATAAAAATTATTTGGGATCCAGTAACGACTCACCTGAGACCGTGAGGCGTATCTTTGCGGCGTCGCTCTGACCGTGTTTGTATACGATGGTGATGATATATTCCCCGCTGTCCTGCGGCGTCAGCGCGCCCAGGGTCAGGTGGCCGTTGGCTGCATTAATCCACGCTCTGCCCTCGTAGGACGTGTTCAGTCTGAGCGTGGAGGAGCTCACCGAGGCAACGGTTATGATCTCCTTCCCGTCATTGAAGTGCCAGAACAGAGCCGAGCTCTGCAGGTCCTGAATCGGCGTTTTCAGCGTCACGTTGCTTCCGACACCTGCGTGCACGGAGCTTTCTGACAGGATCCTCTGACCCACGCAGCGCCCTGCAGGGACACAGGTCACATGACGCACCATCAGAGCTGTGCTGATTATACCGCCGTGACCTCTGACACTAACAGCTGTGCCACACCTTTACCACAGGAAGCAAAAACAGCAAAGCTTTCAAAGTAAAACCGAGCACCAAAACCCACTTTATGTAAACATGTTCACATTTCCAGCTGTCCTCTCCACAGTGGATCCGTTTCACACGTTTTCACTCCTGATTTCAGTTTGTTTGTTTCCTGTAAATCTGCTCCGAGGTCACATTTACAACCTTCCTCAGAGCTCCTTCCTTCAGCTGAGAGCGGGGTCAGCTCTGAGGAGGGCCGGACTACAAGCCCAGACCAACGGCTTCTCTTTACCTCTGTTTACCTGCTGGATCACCATGGTAACAGCAATGGTCACGCTCCAGCAGATGAACCAGGTTTGGGATAACCTCCGATAAATACCCGTGTTTGTTGGAGGTTATCCCAAACCTGGTTCAGGCTTCAGCGCGACTGCTTCGCGTTAACTTCAGCGGAGCTCTGACCAGGACGGGTCAGAGCTAAAGGGCAGCAGCTTCAGCCTTTATAATAACTAAAATATTAAACATTCAGCGCTGAGATGCTTAAATTCTTACCGATGGACGCGAGCAGACACAGGAGGGCGACCCGAGCCATGGTGGACGCGTCCAACGTTCCCAGCTGAGGACTCGGCTCTGGTTTCCTGATCTTTCTAGCAGCTCCGACTCACAGCCGAAGAGGAAGCTGGTCCGTGTTTTCTGCAAACGCTGGCACATTTCAGGGTTTCTAGAAAATCACCAAGCAAACGAGGAAGCGTCCGAGCCTTCATGGCTGCACGGGCCTGAAGCCCACAGCTGGGGGAAGTTTGGTAATCACAGGAAGGATGATGTCAGCGATCCCACTGCGACCTCTCCGACATCCTTGGTACACCTTCCAGCACGACCACACTGACCCTCAGTTTCACGCGTAGACACACATACAGAGGACGTCTGAAAGTGTTTCTGAACCTGCGAGCGTTCAGGCACAGCGGGCGGAAGATGTTTGGATCCAGGAGGACTCGTCAGACAGAAACCTAGGAGCTTATGAAGCGCTTTGTTCATCAGGAACCCGATGGTCATCCTCGCAAACATGAAACCTCCACCATCATCTGAAGCAGAGTCCAGCTCTAACACATTAACGGCAGCACAAACATGTCTGTGCTGCCGTTACAACATTACTAAATCTATGCAGGGTCCAAATGAGACTCCAGTGTGGGTGAAACATGTTTCCTGCAATCAAGAAACGTGCTGGCTTCGTTTGTCAGATTCAGACCCGTTTGATGATGAAATCACTCATCATCACGTCCTGAAGACTAAAACATTATTTACCACAAAGACACCAACACATTAAATGAGTCTGTCAGCGTTTCAGCTCTTTATTAAATAACAAAAGGTCAGAAAATGAAGAACAGCTGGAAAACAAACCAAGAGGCAGTGCTGCCATCTGGTGGACGTCAGTGAGGACGCGCTCATGCTAAACTACAGGAGTCCAGCTAATACTGTTTCTGATGTGGTGACTGAGCCGCCCTCAGTGTTACATTTGCATATTCATTTATCTCACAAAGAGGAAGACGTGCAGTTAAAGGACATCCTGTAAACCTCAGTATCAGCCGAGCGATGAGCTAATCCTCCTAACGAGTTCATCGGAAGCTGCACTGTGTGACACACCTGTGAGACGCCGGCCTTCTCCTAAACACAATAATAATGATACATGACCAGGATATGTTTGACCTATCAGGTTTAAGTTATCCTAACATCAGGTGTGTGGGGGCGTGGCCACAGGAAGGTCAAAGTGCTTTATACTGTTTGACAGCAACAGGGAAGCAGCAGGTATAAAACTGTTTCTGAGGATCTGTATTTCATATTGGCTCCTCCCACGTGCTCCTTCTCATCCAGAGCACTGATTGGTCACTCAGCAAAGGTTACACCTGGTTGAGCCACAGAGCCGAGATCACGCATCAGTCCCAATCATCCTACGCATGCTTTATCAATAACACAAGCTCAGCTCACAGGAGCCTGTCACCTGACCGCAGTCAGCTGATCAGCAGCGGGGATGTGCGACGTGGACGACAAACACGTGACTCTAATTACTCAGCAATGCACGACTGCACGTCGGATCCAGGAGGTTACGAAGCTGCCTCCCTCCCACCTGCAGCAGGTGTGACCACGCGTGTGATGTCACACAGAGTGCGGACACGCTGCTGCTGCCGGTGTACGGACAGCATTCCCGACGGCGTCCGCGTCACGAGGTCGTTCTTGCAGTGAAAACAGGAACACGCTGGTTTCTGCTGATGTCTGAATGAAGTTTTGATTCCACCGTCAGGCGAGGGTGAGCGACGGGCTGGCTGAGCTGTGACGCCACGCCGAGCTGTCATCCTCGCGGCGTTCACGTCTTGCTGCTTTCGGCGACGCACTTGTGCTTTTTGACCTGCGAATGCCACGTGAACCTTTTGTCGCACACGTTGCACTTAAAGGGCTTCTCCTCCGAGTGGACGGCCATGTGCGTGATGACGTTGGCCTTGTTGGTGAACTTCTTGGCGCAGACGGAGCAGCTGAACGGCTTCTCGCCCGTGTGCACCCTCATGTGGTTGACGAGCGTGTTGCGCAGGCTGAAGCTCGTGTTGCACACGGAGCAGGTGAAGGGCTTCTCCCCGGTGTGCACGCGCAGGTGTGTGGTGAAGTTGGAGCTCTTGGAGATTTTCTTGCCGCAGAACGGGCACGTTTTCTCCCCCGTGTGGCTCTTCATGTGGCTCTGCAGGTGGTTCTTGCCTCCGAAGCGTTTGCCGCACTCAGAGCAGCTGTAAGGTTTCTTGGCTAAGTTACTTCCCGCGTCTCTCACAGCGTCCTCTGACGGCGGTTTCCCGCTCTGCACTGGAGCGTCCTCTGGGGCCCCGGTGTCAGAGGAAGTCCTGACAGGCTGCGGGTGGAGGTTTCTGGCTGCTTCTGGTCCTGCTCGATCCTCTCCACCAGCTCGTGCCTGCAGCTGGCGGCTGCTGAGCTCGCTGCGGGTGTGAAGGAGGTCGGGGGACTGAGTGCTCTCTTCCACCTCCTCCTCAATCTTCACGGTGACGGGAATGATGGTGAGGTCCTCGTGCACTCCGGGCCGCTCTCCCGGCTGATTGGTCCAGAGCCCCTCATGTTCATCTTTGACTCGTGGCGGTTCTGGACTCTCCCGGTGCAGACCGGGGCTCTTCTGCTCCTGTGATGCTCCTTTATCCGCCGTAAACTTTGTGGGGCTCAGGGAGACCCTGGAGGACACAGAGGGAGGAAACGAGCACTGGTTAGCCCAACAGACCAAACGTGGCCAGCAGGGGGCGCTCCTCTGGAGCTATGAGTACGTCTGTCCCATTCACTGCTTTCAGGCTGACTGAATAAAACATGAAGTTCATTTTGGACATTTTGGTTTTGTTACAGAGGACCAGACAGCAGGATTAGTTACCATGGTTACGTCCATCTAAGAGTGCACGGTCATGTGATTAGTGTCGTGTAACACGGTTACTCATAAACAGTTACTGTCTTCTTTTTGGGGGGGTTAACTTTCAGTATATCATTTAAATGAAAAATAATGGGGCTGCGGTGACATCACTGCTGAACCATAGTGGCTCCTTTAGGTGCTGAGGGGGAGGTGTCAGCTGCAGCCCCACAGCTGTCCCTGTGGGGCTGCAGGTGGGGCTGCAGGTACACACACTCACCTGCACCGTTAGTGAAAACATGCTGCTGCTCCATCCACAACACCAGAGAAAAATTATTCTCCATGGTTACTGTTCCTACGGAGACACATCTCACCTGCACCCAACTTACAATTAAACTGCCTAGTTAAAATTTACAACATCTGGAACAGCTGCTTATCCTTTCCAACGACAACAACTAAATAATATTAACTATTATTACTATAAATATTATAACAAAAGTAATATTTTTATTAGTATTGTTGTTATTTTGTTGTTGTTATTATAAAAGAATAACATGAATAACAATAATAAAAATTGTCATTATTCATTCATTATTGTCATTATTAATAACAACAACAACAATGGTGATGATGACGATAACAATAACGACCACATCAATGGTGTTAGCCGTCCGGTCTGTCTCCGGTAACCCACCGTGCGGGCCCCCCCGGCTCTCGGCAGGGTGTCCGTCCGGCTGCCTGCTCCTGTGCAGGCGGATCTCCTGCTCGTACTCCTCCATTGTCCTCTCAAAAAGCGCGAAAATCTCCTCAGCGGCCGCGTTGAGCCGCTGCTTCACCAGCGCTCTCAGCACCTCAGCCTTCGACATTTCCCCGCCGTCAGCCGGACACGCAGATGCCGAGCCGAGCGAGTCTGCGGCTGCGCGGAGAAGGTTCGGAGGACAAAGTCGCAGGGAGCACCGACACCTGCCCGCTAACCTCCCCAGGACCTAACCCTGACCTCACCTGTGTTTCTTTACTGGGACGGAACACACCGAGCCTGTCTAATCCGAACCGGAAACCCGACTGCTACTAATTTGTTCTGCACATGCGCTGAACAAACTACTTCCCCTTTTCGACTTTTCATAATAAAAGCATTCTTTTAGCGCGATTCTCATATGGACACCCCGCACCACCCGACCCTAAAATGGATAAAAGAGAGGATTGATGGATGGACATGTCATTGTGTTCAGTATAACAACAAAGTGCTTGACATACATCAAAATTACTAGAAAATGAGGTGTAATAAATAAGAACATACTTTACAGGAGAGAGGATCAAAGTTGGGAGACTTTTTATTTAATAATATTGTATATTCATTTTTTCAGCTTGATAAGATTGTAAATACGTTATACGTTAATGTCAGATATGAATTGGACAGTTCATACAGTCCTACATATGAAAGCAGTCCTACATATTTGTTTACAGTTTTTTACAGCCACTAGGACACATTTCTCAATACTTAGGTCATTTTTGCAAAACTCTTCACACAATTCCCGTAACTGACCTTCAGCTTGGCAAAGCAGTTCATTTCACATTCAAAATGAACTACAACTACCAAAACACTTTATTCAGGTCTCAAATAAACTCATTCTTCCAGAACACTAGCAAAGGTTGACAGCCGACAAACACACTTTGTCACCCACAAAACAATGACCTAAAAAACACTAACAACATGTAGCATTACACAGTGTTTTCTTGTGTAAAACAAGGACACATCTCTGTTTATAATTTCAGTATATGTTACTGGAATGAATCAGACATCATGCAGAATTCGTTAATATTTGTTTATGTATTTTTATTTTTTTGCACTAAGTAATCCCAAAATACAAGAATTTGTATACACACCATCCACTGATACACATACAATAGTAATGCTAATCTACTCGGTCTTCTCCATTTCTGGCTGGGTCCATGTTTACATCACAAAGCAAACCTATTCAGCAGTCGTCTCCTTTTGTAATGAAATTGAAGGAGTAACACCTGTGTAGATGTTCATCTACAATGAGAATCAGCTGTGGCTGGTTAAACTGGATTTTTAGATTTAAAATATGTTTCAATAAAATATTGTAGTTGAATTTTGCTCTTTTTAAGTTTTGCATTGTGTTATTGTTTTGGCCATAAGTTTAACAGTTTTGAAAACAGTATGTAAGCACATGCAAAATGTCCTGTACGTACAAAGATTATTGGCAGTTGTTGTGTCTGAGTGAGAAAATAATTCATGAAATTTGAGAGATGTAGTCATTGAATGCATTTTGTGCCAAAACAATGATAACTGATCCTCAGTTTAGCCCACATAGACTTCTGTTGTGCTCACTGTGTGAGGAGTTTTGCAAAAGTGACCTAAGTATTGAGAAATGAGTCCTAGCGTCTGTAAAAAACTGTAATATGTGCACTGAAGGACATATCAGGCAGTGAAGAATAGTTTTCAAGAAGGCCTTCGTGTTTTGAGCAGGACAATGCGTAACTGCAGACTAGATCTGTTCCAGCAGCACGGCTGCAGTACTGACCTCTGATCAGCCGAGATGTGAATCATCATGAACGCAACAACAGGATGAAGCAGAGCCAGGACTGCTAAAACTCTGCTCTCCTCAGCTCACAGACCCAGAAAACTAGGAGCTCTGAAATGAGCTCCTAGTTTGTGTGTGTGTGTGCGTCTGTGTGTGTGGGTGCGCGTTTGTGTGTGTGTGTTTGTGTGTGTACGTGCGTCTGTGTGTGTGTGTGTGTGTGTGTGTCTCTGTGTGTGCGTGCGTCTGTGTGTGTGTGTGTGTCTGTGTGTGTGTGTGTGTGTGTGTGTGTGTGTGTGCGTGTGTGTGTGTGTGTGTGTGTGTGTGTGTGTGTGTCTGTGTGTCTGTCTGTGTGTGTCTCTGTGTGTGTGTGTGTGTGTGAGTGTGTGTCTGTGTGTGTGTCTGTGTGTCTGTGTGTGTGTGTGTGTGTGTGTGTGTGTGTGTGTGTGTGTGTGTGTGTGTGTGTGTGTGTGTGCGCGTTTGTGTGTGTGCATCTGTGTGTGCGTTTGCAAACTAGAAAACTAGGAGCTCTGAAATGAGCTCCTAGTTTTCCTGAAATCATGCATTTCCTCAAATGACAGGCTGACATGTTTTCTGTGATCTGCTGTGAATAAAATGTTTGTGATTGTCACTTCTCCTCACTCCTATTGTTGTTTTCATTTTACATGGATTTCCAAGTTTTTTGCAATTAGTGTTTTACTACTCAGCATATCATATGTGTGTGTGTGTGTGTGTGTGTGTGTGTGTGTGTGTGTGTGTGTGTGTGTGTGTGTGTCCTCACTGCAGACACTGATACAGTGATGATCTTCCAGCTGCAGCAGTCACTTCCGTCTGTGAGGTTTTTGTACGAGTGTTTTTCACTGTGTGAACATCGGAGTGCTGTGGTAACTCTGACAGTAATAAACTCCTGCATCATCAGCCTGGACTGCACTGATGCTCAGAGTGAAGTCCAGGCCATTCCCTGCTCCACTTCCACTCAGTCTGGAGGAAATTCCTGAAAGTCTGTCTGATGTTCTGTAGATCAGAGCTTTGGGAGCTTCTCCAGTTTTCTGATGGTACCAGGCCAGGTAGTATTGTGAACCAGAATACTGAGCTACTTGTGTACTGACTTTACAGTTGATGTTTACAGTCTGACCAAGCTGCACAGATTTGGATGCTGACTGAGTCACCACAACGTTTTGTCCAGCAGACCCTGAGGAGAGAAGAAACTCTGGACATGAGCTGGTGAGGTGAAACTCAGCTACGCTCTGAATGATTTTCACGTGACAGAAAAATGATTTTCCTCACCTTGAGTCAAGCAGAGGAGAGTCCAGATGAGGACGCAGATCAAAGTCATGTTTTTGATGAAGAGAATTTCTGTGGCGTCTGTTGTGATGAAGGCCAGCTGTCAGTCATGCAGTGTTCAACTGTCAGGACTATAAACTCTCCCAGAGCACTGGAGCATGGTGCTGCTGATGCAAAGCAGCTCACCGTGGACATGCTCAGATTGACTCCAAGGCGGACTCGATTACTCTCATGGATCTATCGGTTATCACAGGATTCATCTGGAGTCTTCTCTGCATTTTGCATCTCATAAGTTTCTTTAAGTATTTTCTTTGTTTTTTTACATAGTGAAAGTAGATAATGAGAATATTTATCTTGTTTAAATCTGGCTTATGTTGAAATATTCTGACGGGTTCGGTTTAGCAGATAACGTCTTTATCAGTGAAATGATCAGCTGGTGATAGTTTAACAGTAATTATGATTGTAGAAATGCACCAAATGAAATGATTAAAATGTTGAATGTAAATAACTGAATATTTGTTCAAAGTGTGTTATATTTTGTATTAAACACTAAAACCATGCAGATAATTAGAAGTTGATGCTGAAGATAATTACTGAGATGCTGTGTAACAGTTTGGCCCCAGTGCAGTTTGTTGAGCTTCAGGTCACATGAGGACTGTGAGTGCGCTGATGTGCATGAGAGCTTTGTTAAAGGGAAGTGAAACACTGTGTGAGTGAGTGACTGGTGGAGCAGAAAAACATCTGTCAGAAAGTCCTTAAAGGAGAAGATCTGCTCTCACACAGTGAAGGCGTTACTGGCAGCTGTGCCGTGTGCTCCCTGTCCTCTAAGCTGATTGGTGTCTCCTAGGTGACGCTCGTCCCACCCTGACGGTGCTGCCCCCCTCCAGAGAGGAGCTGCAGCAGGGGAAGGCCACGCTCATGTGCCTGGCCAACAAGGGCTTCCCCTCAGACTGGAGTCTGTCCTGGAAGGTGGACGGCAGCAGCAGCAGCAGCTGGGAGGAGGGCAGGAGCCCAGGGGTGCTGCAGGAGGACGGCCTCTACAGCTGGAGCAGCACCCTGAGGCTCCCTGCAGACCAGTGGGAGAAGGTGGGCTCTGTGACCTGTGAGGCCACCCAGGGCTCCCACACTTCTCTCTCACAGACACTGAGGAGAGACCAGTGTTCCCAGTCCTGAGCTGACTCTCTCTCTCTTTCTGTCACTCGTCTTTGTTTTGTTCATCATTTCACTGTTTGACACAATAAAGATTCATTCAAAGAAACTCTCGTTCCACTTCTGCCCTTTTTAACTGAGCTTAAATTAAAATTTTTTAGTTCACCGTTATTCATACAGGTAGTCCCACTTGTACAGCATCAGAGTCTGAATGCGAAATGTTTCAGAAAAACATATTAAAGTTACAACAATAAAAGAAACACCAAAGTACCTCAAACTGTTTAATATTTAAGAAGTTCCCAGTGTTCAATCACACATTGTTGTCAACTCTTAATGATGACATTAAAATAACTTGTTGTTATAGAGACTGAGACCCCCACGGCCTCATCCACCTGCGACTGTCTAAATAAGGCTGATAGGTGGTGCAGAGTTCAGAAACACACATGTGATTGTACTGGTGTTCATTTGACTTTAACACACTATTATAATATTTAATGAGAATTATCCGATGCTCAGAAATGAGTGGGAGGAGTCATTCTGTGGTACGATCCTGTAATAGTAGATGTCACTGTTTTTATAACAGCACGTGGATAAAACGTGCTTTCATCATTAAACAACATCTTTACTTTCCTATATAAAAGTCTACAATGTAAACAATAAAAAACATCCATACTTAATGTTTTAGTATTTGTAAATGGCCTGCATTTGTGTTATTAAAATGATCATCAACAGAATTTTTCAAAACTGACTTAGAAAGTTCAGTTTTTGTTAAACTGAAATGTGTTAGTATAACCTGATGAGCTGCACAGTGTTTGTTTCCTTCACAGCTAAGTTAGTCTTTAGTCTGAGTGCAGCTGTTGAGACAGTTCCTCTAAAGCTGAGGGAGGTTTTTGTACGGCGCTGTATCGCTGTGTGAACAAGTTGCTACCCTGCTGACAGTAATAAACTCCTGAATCTTCAGCCTGGACTCCTCTGATGCTCAGAGTGAAGTCAGTACCAGATCCACTTCCACTGAAACGATCTGAAACTCCAGACTGACGATTTGTAGCTTTATAAATCAGGAGTTTAGGAGCTTTGCCAGGTTTCTGAAGGTACCAGTGAAGCCAGTCACCAACACTTGTACTGGTTCTACATGTGATGGAGACAGACTGCCCTGCAACCACAGACTGAGCTCCAGGAGACTGAGTCACGATGATTTGTCCTGATGAACCTGGAAAAGATGGAAAAAAGGAGAAGGGTTACTGAGACAAATCCAGCGTGGAGAAAGATGATCAGCATCCAAACAGAAGATGGAGAACAGATGGAAGAAGGTCACTGCTGCTGGTTTCAGTGTTCACGCTGAAGCCACGCGCTCACAGAGAGTCTCACCCTGAACAAGGAGCCCCAGGGTGGCCAGCAGTAGAGTCAGTGACATCATCATTGTGCTGCCGGCGTGTCAGTGTCTCTGAAAGGCCTGGACAGACACTGATCAACACTGGCCTCTTAAGGGCTGTGAGCAGAGGCAGGACACGTATGCAAACACACAGAGTCAGTCAGCTGGAGCCGTCCTCAGCACATCACCACCTTTCCTTCTCACTCGTGGCTCTACTCGCTGTTTTTCTCATGCAAACTATGATATTACCTTCACAGTTTTACATATTCCAGAATTAGTTGGTCGCAAAGATAGAACATTTTTAAACTAAGCAGTCTGGTACGATGGCAGCGTTCACACTGCCGGTGACTTGATTGCAGTCAGGTGTGAAGGCTGATTGGAGTCTCCACCTGAAGGTGGAGCCCAGTGCTATGAAAAATCCCACACTCACCAGGCCCATGACAACATGATAACAGTGGGTGGATTATATTCTTAAACTTAGTTACAGCGCTTTCAGAAAGACATCTACTGTGATAAAGTCTACTCTCCGCTGCTGTGTAATCAATGATTGTAAATGTAAATGTTATCAGGAAATGATTAGGCAGGAGAGGGTTTTCAGGAAACTAATAACAGAAACACACATGTGATTGTACTGGTGTTCATTTGACTTTAACACACTATTATAATATTTAATGAGAATTAACAGATGCTCAGAAATGAGTGGGAGGAGTCATTCTGTGGTACGATCCTGTAATAGTAGATGTCACTGTTTTTATAACAGCATGTGGATAAACGCGCTTTCATCATTAAACAACATCTTTAATTTCCTATATAAAAGTCTACAATGTAAACAATGAAAAACATCCATACTTAATGTTTTAGTGTTTGTGTTATTAAAATGATCATCAACAGAATTTTTCTAAACTGACTTAGAAAGTTCAGCTTTTGTTAAACTGAAATGTGTTAGTATAACCTGATGAGCTGCAGGGTCTTTATCAGTGAAATGATCAGCTGGTGATAGTTTAACAGTAATTATGATTGTAGAAATGCACCAAATGAAATGATTAAAATGTTGAATGTAAATAACTGAATATTTGTTCAAAGTGTGTTATATTTTGTATTAAACACTAAAACCATGCAGATAATTAGAAGTTGATGCTGAAGATAATTACTGAGATGCTGTGTAACAGTTTAGCCCCAGTGCAGTTTGTTGATCTTCAGGTCACATGAGGACTGTGAGTGCGCTGATGTGCATGAGAGCTTTGTTAAAGGGAAGTGAAACACTGTGTGAGTGAGTGACTGGTGGAGCAGAAAAACATCTGTCAGAAAGTCCCCGCAGAAGGCCACGCTCATGTGCCTGGCCAACAAGGGCTTCCCCTCAGACTGGAGTCTGTCCTGGAAGGTGGACGGCAGCAGCAGCAGCAGCTGGGAGGAGGGCAGGAGCCCAGGGGTGCTGCAGGAGGACGGCCTCTACAGCTGGAGCAGCACCCTGAGGCTCCCTGCAGACCAGTGGGAGAAGGTGGGCTCTGTGACCTGTGAGGCCACCCAGGGCTCCCACACTCCTCTCTCACAGACACTGAGGAGAGACCAGTGTTCCCAGTCCTGAGCTGACTCTCTCTCTCTTTCTGTCACTCGTCTTTGTTTTGTTCATCATTTCACTGTTTGACACAATAAAGATTCATTCAAAGAAACTCTCGTTCCACTTCTGCTCTTTTTAACTTGCACAGATTGAGATCCTTTCACAATAAACACAGTTGTTCTTCACTCAGGGGTTTCAAACTCGTGGCAGTATATGGGCAGCAAGTGGCCACTTGCTGCCCATATATTGACGTGAAGAAATAAAATGCAGTTTGTCCCTTGAAGTGACTTTTTTGTTTGTTGTTAAGTGCAAAGTTCTTTAAAAAAACAAAAATGATTTAATATGACTGCAACATGAGCAGAGAGTACAAACATGCTGAGGTTCAGTGACTAATGTGTTCACTTATGTCTGCATTTTGATTCTGTTAAGTACGAACACAATGACAGCAGACGTACTGCTACATGTCTGCAGACAGAGGACCAATGACTTTATTTGGCAGTTCAATGAAAGGCTTCAGTTAGTTAAGAAGGAGGAAAAAGAATACCATACCATACCATACCATACCACCTTTATTTATAAAGCACTTTAACATAAAACCAGAGTTCACAAAGTGCTGTACATGCTAAAAGCATAAGTAAAGAAAATTAAAATGAGATAAGATAAAATAAATAACTAAAAAACTAAAATAAATTAAAACATGTCAAAACAAATTGAGTCAACCCCTCTAATCAATGCCAAAGGCTTCAGCGAATAAATATGTTTTAAGAAGACTTTTAAATTCAGAGAGAGAAGAGGCCTGCCTTACATGCAAGGGTAGATCATTCCACAACTTTGGAGCAACTACAGCAAAAGCACGATCACCTTTAGATTTATACTTAGTTTTTGGTACCTTAAGGAGCTGCTGATTGGCGGACCTAAGGGAACGGGCAGGTTTATATGGTTGTAGTAGCTCCGAGAGGTAGGGGGGGGGCAGGACATTAAGAGATTTAAAAGCAAATAAGAGAATTTTAAAAACAATCCTAAAATGTACAGGTAGCCAGTGGAGTGAAATTAAAATTGTGTTCATGTTATACAATATACAATATACAATATACAATATGTGAATCTGTGTTCATGTTATACAATATTCAAATAAAAAAACAACCAAACAAAACACTTTTTGGAAATATTTGTGTTCTTTCTTTCTTCTTCTTCTTCTTTTTTTTGTACTACTTGAACACTAAAGTGGCCGTCCAATAAGACGACAGTGTCAGCTTTGGCCCACGGCTCATTTGACACCCCTGATCTTAAATGAAAGCACAACTATGTCAGTTTTCTTTTATTTATAACTTACAATCCTACGTTCCAAAATCATTTCACTCACCTGCATTCAGACCATGTTAACATTTATTATCGCTGCCACTGAAATCTTCCTCCTTACATATTCTCAGAGTCTGGAGGAAAAACCAAAGCACTCAGTGTATTTTATACTGAACTTTTTCAGAGCACACAACATAACGAGTCTGCTGGTACTGAAACCTGTTGTGGACATTTTCAGTTCTTAAAAATAACGTCTGGGAGTAGCGACACACATGCAAACACAGAGTCAGTGAGCTGTAACTGTCCTCAGCACATCACTGATGAAACTTTTGTCAACATATATTTTCTTCCTTTCACAGAAAACTCATCCCTGTTCTCAGTTCAACACTACTTACTTATCTTTGATATTTACCTCACGCTCCATTCATCCTTCATCGAATACATGAAATATGTAGCGACTTAAAAATATCTCACAATGTGTAAGTAAAACGTAAAGGATGTTTTATGTTAGCGTCCATGTTTCAGGACTCTCTGTGTCCTGTGTCCCCTCGGGTTACCCCTGAGAATGAGACCCTCACTTGCACCATTGGCACTCTCACCTGGGAAATAGACACAATCCAGCAAACCCTGATGACAGAACCTGATCCTGACTGTAATGTCATCTGCAAACTTAAGGTTTTGACACACTTGACTTTTGCTGTGCAGCCATCTGTGTAGGACACCTCCACTGGGTTGCCACTGCAAATTTTCCAGGTGCTGGATGTGCCTCACCAGTGATCCACTGACAGATGGAGGCTGGGACAGTGAGCTGGGTAGTTTGGAGTTGAGCTGAAGTCCACAACCTGATCCTATTACAGATCCTATTACGTGTACCAGGGCAGTCAAGGTGTTCCAGCTTGAAGTGCATTCCTGTGCTGACAGCATCATCCACTGACCTGCACCAGGGAGCGTGTGATGTTTGCAGATAGGTCAACACTCATGTCTTTACTACAGACGTCAGGGCAACATGTCTGTCATTAATTAACAGAGTGTTTCTTGGGGAAAGATGATTGTTAGCTGAAAACCCATTTTTAGTGTTTCAGTGTAGCGCCTCTTTGCTACCCTGATCTCCTTTGTCAGTATGTTTCTGGCCTGGGTATACAGGACTCTGTGCCCACGCCTGTAGGCGGCATTATCCCTGAATTTTCCTGTAAACCAGGGTTTGTTGTTATTGTATACGCAGAAGGTTTTAGGATGTCACAGTGTCAGTGATGTTGTCCAGGTGTGCCTCAAAAACACTCCACTTCCTGCATTGTCTCACACCACAAGGCCAGGCAGGCGCCTGTGGCACTTTTATTTTGACTGCATTGTTTATGGTTGTGTATTGTAAACTGCAGTATATTTACTCTTTATCATGCTGCTGCATGCATACAAATGTCCATTTTATTTGCAATAAACCAAAAACAAACAAACAAACAAGCTAAAAACGCAAAACAAAATGCAGGTACACAGTGAAAGACCAGATGTCCCAGTTTCACACTGGAACTTGAAAGCAGCTTACATTTGTGGATCTGTGTGGCTGTGGTGGAAACCCCCACGTGGGCATGTGACGTGATCTGTGCGTGTCGGGCGATTGGTGCACATCTAAGGTTTTGTGAGTGAGGACATGTTTAGACATTTGTGTGCATAGACAGGTTTGTGAAAGAGAAAATGATCAGATTTGTGAGGCTGAACTTCATAAATTGTGTGTAAATGATCAGTATTTCTGCACCCACTGAACTACTACTGTAAAGACCAGAAAGGATGCACCAGTTAAAATAGAAGCGCCCATGTTAAATCATTGGTGGACAGATAGAGCTGGGTGTCATCTGCATAGCAGTGTAAATGTATGCTATGTCTTCTAATGATGCTGCCTAAGGGAAGCATGTATAATGTAAACAGAATTGGTCCTAGCACTGAACCCTGTGGAACTCCATAATTAACCTCAGTGTGTGAAGAGGACTCTCCATTTACATGCACAAACTGGAGTCTATTAGATAGATATGATACAAACCACTGCAGTGCAGTACCTGTAATACCTACAGCATGTTCTAATCGCTCTAATAGGATATTTTGGCTATATTAGCTGTTACGCCCCAGTCTAGGGTACAGGAACGCAACATAAGTTTGAAAAGACTGCCCCGCCCTGGTCCCCAAAACCATACACAGAGGGAAACCAATTCCTTAG